TAATAACATCTCTACATAATTTTAAGATAGTCAAGGAATGTAATCAGTTGCGAACTAATACTTCCCTGTATGGAAATGCCTCGTTGGAGGCGCTATTAGTTCTTTTGATTGCTGGCTCCTTTTGTCGAATTAAACGGAATTGGGTAATTCGGAGAATATTAAAGAAGGGTTCATTTTCTTTCTGGTACATTAGTATAATTGTCGCACGAGTTACCAGCCTTCAAATGGCTTGTCATCTGTTATAAATCCAGTATATTTTTTGATTAGGTTTCGTAGATTAACACACAAATTTTAATTAAAAAGTTATATTTTTTGCCAGTATAAGTAGCATGTTTAAACGAACCGATTCCTGTTGTGAAACACCCATTTTATTCTCAAAATCTGTATTTTATTATGCTAACATTAAAAAAAAGGCGACTAAATATGAAACGTAAATCTACCAACTCCTAAACTTAATATAAAACTTTGATTATTAACGGGAGAATTTTGCGCAATAGGCCTTGTACAATGTATGTGCACGTTGGACGTCTTTACATTATGTCTTACAATTTTATCAGAATCTGCTAATTATTATTGATTTTTTTTAATAGACTTAACATGTTCCTACTGCCCCACTTTGTACAACTTTATGATTGTATACCATTTGAATTTAATTTTTTGTTTGTTTCATTTAAAGATTAGTAATTAATTCAAGTTATTATTTCTGTTTTTAAGTACTATAATATGAATGTCGACGCTTCAACGGTCGGAGAAATTGTGATACTTGTGTTTGACCGTCAAATATATTTCTGTATTTTTTAATGAAATACTTGCGGCGAAAGTAGGGAGTCATTATTTGATGCTTATTTATCTACCAGTGGCAATTCTACTCAAAGTGACGTCACTGAAGTTCATTTGTTTTCCCCTCGCTTCATCCACCGCTTACACTTATATTTCAACACAGATGCAAATTAAATTACACCCAAGTTTCGCTGACTTAGCCACACTGTTAGGAAGATAACTCGAGCTTGTCGCTCTTGCTCAGGGATTTGGTGTTATTCAGATACTAAGTGGAAAATTTCTAATGAAAACACTTTATACGTATATCACTTCATTAAGGTGCAGTTTGCAGCGTGAGACGGGATAAATATTACGTTGTATTCTTACCTTGAGATATAGCAATATGGTAAAGGACAAAAGAGGGTGTTGACGAACTGTCAAGTGTAAATAATTCTAACTCTACTCTCTAACTCTGAATTAGAAAAGATTTTTTTTAACAACTACCTTTTTATTATTAAAAACATGTATTACAAAAGTCAAGATTAAATGATATGTCATCCATTGCTAACATGAGTTAAAAAAACACAATTATAAATATTATCACAACATACTTAGATTGACATTTAAAACTATTCAAGCTGTTCGAAATACGTAATTTTAGTTTAATAAAATTTGATGAGGTTAATCCAAAATATTTTTACTCGGCCGATCGTCACATTTTTGGTTAGTCATTGTTGAGATTTACTAACCCGAGTATTTTGTGCGTTTTTGTGAACTATTGTGAGACAAGATATCAGTCTTACCTCTCTTTGTTCCCAAAGTAATACAATTTCTCCAAATCCTAACGGTTGACAATTGTGTGCCTTTCTTCTTGGTAAAGATACATCGAAACGAGGTATGTACTCAGGACTTATTATTTTAGTATAAATTGTGTATCGACGGCCACCGAACCGTTATTTAAACAGACACACACCCACACACCTCACATCCTTATAAATATTTTTTTGTTAACCTTGCAGCCTATGTAATAATGATTGTTTATTCTCACTACTTTTTTCTTTACTTTTTTTTACACAATCTAGCATTTTCCCTAAATAGAAGAAAGACAATTATTTATTTATGATAAAATATAACTGTCACTTGTTAATCTACTAAGTTTTTGTTAGAAAAATGAATAAAGATTATTATTATTATTATTTGTGGTACACAAGCTGTTTTGTATGTGGTGTGAATTCGAGTGTGAAAACTTTAGCGATATACTTATACCACAAAAGACGTTTAAGGCTCACAAAACAACAATAAACTTGGTGGGTTGCGCTGACCGCTGCAAAAACAGCACAATACAAACTTAAATTGTTCGTGAAAACGTTATGCACTAGGTTTCAATTTCCACGCGAACTGGCCATTGCAGATGTTCGGGCGACAATCATAAATATGATTTGAAAATCGTTTGTATGGGCTGTAAACTTTTATCTGGCGATGTATAAAGGATTCTTGTTAACCTGCAATATTGGACACGTGTAACTGTTGTAGCGAGACGGGCACTTAACACGCCACCTTCGTCTGAAGGAAACATTAGGTCTACGGTTCAAAATATATAAATGATTTTGTGATGAAAAAATTCCAAGATAATAATTTACGATTTTGAAAGTACGTAACTGTATGAAAATGAATTTACCTATTAAGATTGACTTTAGTAAGCTGACAAAAAAAAAGAGGTAGACCAAAAAACAAAATAATAAATGACTAGACAATTGCTTATAAATAAAATTGCTTATAAAAAAAACAACTTGCTTATAAAAGACAACAAGAAAACAAAACATAAACAAAAAAGATGGCGGTATGGTCGAAAGACATGGGCGAAAAAATAAAAAATGGTGAGAAAGTAGGAATAAGAAATCTCTCGATCATCCATGGTATCACCACCAAGCCTGAACAGACTTACCACAGTACCCTTACACTATGTGATAATACATTCTTAAAACATCAAATGATGATGACTCTTCAAGTATTCCCTAATGTACAGAGATTTACTCCGACCGTCCACCCATGCGCTGTGCAATTTATAGGTACTTAGTGTTGATATTCAATTAAGCTTTATTAGACGACGTTACTGTGACCTACAATTCACGATGACTAGAAAACCCTAAGCGTTTTTCTGTTTTAGCAACATTCATCAATCAACTTCAAGAAAATTCCGAAAATAGTTCATTTTTCTTCGCAATTCTAGATAAAATGTTGTTTAAGATAACGTGGTAGGGTATAGTAAAAATTACGTATAAAATAATGAACGTAGACTTAATTAGATGTGAGAGGATTCTCAGAAATCTGCGTGAGAAACTCATTACATAAAATGTTCATAATTATATTAATTATTCCATTGTAATTATAATATGTGACGGCACGTGGTTACTGATATTAACAGTTAAAATTTGACAGTTATACTGTAATGTAATAATAGTAACTAGAATCTTACTTCATTTTAGTGTAGATACAGAATGAGCAATGTTCAAATCAGTGATACAACATAATGCTGCGAGCATATTAAACAAATCACTTAAGACACGGTCAAGGTCACAAATCAAGGTCAATACTAAGTATGACTTCCATATGTCAAAAATGTATTGATCAGAGGTACATGGACATACTCACAATGTTCTTTGCCGAACCAGTATGTATTAATTGTATTAATGTCGCACAGAAATCAAGATAATAACAAAGATAAGAAAAAAACTAGTCCTCATCCAAGCTCCGAATATAAGACCTTATGACTTATAACAATCACTTAATCACTACTCTTAATTGCAGCTTTATTATCCCATTATAACTTAAATTATACAGGCATTGACAAGTTAAATTATGTGTTTGTAAAATAAACGAAAACATAACCATGGAACAAAGCTAGTGATTAATTTAAATAGTGCAATTGAGTGCTGTGTGCTTTTACAATATACAATCCATTAATCTATGAAAGAGCTTTCTGTACTGGCCACAAATTAATTACATTACAGAGCAGATTATGGGTGTGAACATACAATTCTAAATACTTGTATCAATAGAAAAAATATGTTCTGGTTTCTTTATAACAATAAAGCAACATTTATTCAGGAAACATAATATACGTTTGTAGACATAATTCTAAATTTACATACAAAGCACTGCTAAGGAACTCAAAACCACTTTTGTTTTTAGAAAAATTAATCGGCCATAGCATACATTACACATTTCTTGCTCTTTCTTTCTGTATAATACTTAGTAACTTACTGAAAACGAGTGCTATAAGTATCAATTTGTTTTAATATAGCCACATTCCCATAAAGATTTAAATGTGTTTTCCTCGGGTAAACCAAAGCTGAAATAATAATTATATTGAAAATCATTACCAAACAAATATAAATGATGAAGCGTTTATGAATAGAAGACAATTATTTAATACATTTAAATTCGAATGGCGCGTCGAAATTTGTTTGTCACCAGTTTTGCCGTCAAAAATAATTACATGAAGTCACGTTTTGAATGTTAATACTTGATAGGTGATTTATGATTTTATTATTTGTTTAAATTAACATTTAATTCTACGATTATTGAGTATATTATCGTAAAGCGTAGTAGTATAAAACTTCGATTTTTCTCGGCATAATTTTCTTTTATTACAAATTATTTACGACTTTTTTGCATGGTCAGAATATCAATCTGAATTTTATAGAAATAAAATTAGCTTATTTTTTCCAAAATATAAATGACATCTTTTTCCCGAAAAAACCTACAAATACTTTACGATATCCACAATACCTATTCTACAACACGTATCGTAATGGTATTAAATTGGTAACATTGTTCTATGTAATCGATTCCATTAGACCAGTGTAACATACAAACAGTATTATTAGATTATATGATCCATTCATATTAAAGATTTATTGAATTTATTACAGCAATCGATAATAATCATATACAGCTTATCTAATTATTAACTTAGTACACAGCCTATGCCGTGGTATCCTTGAACTCATTCGGTAAACAATGCCGGATGCAGACAGTAAACAAATAATATACGATGAATTATTGAGCTTGTTACACTAACAATTGTGTATGGATGCATAATTAGCTGAAGCTAATTATTGTATATTGCACTGTCACTTCAACGTTGGTAAATAGCTCAAGTTGTATCTAAGTAGCTCATATTTGCGATATTACTCAAACAGAAGCAACGATAAACATAAGTAGGACGTAACACAGCTATGGTGAAGTCGATAAGTCCTCAAAGCAGCTCTACAGTCTTGGTGAACTCCGCTGACGTAATACCTAACTTAATTATTTGTGTATTTCACGTGGAGTTTCGTAATTATCAAGAGTATTTATTTGTAGCAGAATGGTATATGTAAAATGTTTAAAAAGCGTAGCACTTGCGGCTACGCAGCTACGGAAAAGCACGTAGCATACATGAATTAAACAATGTAGACCGTTTTCCTAATTTAATTCCGGCAAGTTCTGTGATGAAACTTGATCGAAGCTTTATAATTGCGCGAGGTTACATAACGTGTAATATTAAAAATAAAACTTTCTTTATTCAGTACTTGCTCTCTTGATATGAATTAAAAACACTGGTTGGAAATTAAATATTGTATCCATAATTAAATAGATTCAATAAATTTCATATTCCCACAGATATTGCGAGCTACTCAATAATATAACCCTATTGTCTTTTATTTGCGTCGGGTCACAAAATGCAGTGGAGCGTTGCAGCGATGAGATTAAGCCTTCTAAATGGGCTTAAATTTTAATCGCTGTTTAAGGCTCACCTAACGGAGGCATTGAGTCGCTAAAGCCATAGATAAAGGTTGCATGGAATAAACGCCTTTTCATAGATAATATTTACGAAATTCTAAACATTTTAGAGTTTAAATTTGGAATTTCCATACTCGCTATCCACTTACCTACTTATTCATAATTTTATGAAGAAAGTTCTTATAAAGAAAATCTTTATACAGTATGTGCATTCTTTAGTAGTGTAATACCATAGATTGATAGCATTGTAACCCGTTGTAAATTATTATACACCAATTTGCACAAAGATTCCAAAGAAATAACCGTTAATAATGAAAAATAAAAGGAAAGCATTATTGTACGTCTACAGCGTCGTTTAAATATTTCCGTTTGTAATAAAAATTGTGAACATTCCAGTCTTACAGTCAATATAATGAGAAAATTAACCAACGCGTGGTCAGCGCGGATCGAGAGTAACTAGACACGCTATTTTTCATACACTTTTATTTTTCGCGGTACAACATCGACGGGCAGCATCGGACGGGATTCTAATCAATTTAATTTATCAGGGATCCCCTAGAGGCAGCCATTCACTTCATTTAATGCGCGTATTTTGCGGCAGGGCTGATTGTTTTGAACCATTCAGCTGTACGGTCCATTTAGATTAATTATTGGATAACTTAATTTTGCGAGATGTATTTACCGACTTACCATACACGGATATAAGTACCTACCTAGATATAGCATTTGATAACTCGTTTATCAGCTTATTTCTTTTACGAGGGCACACTGGGCTCATAAGAGATATTATTAATTATCGTCCAGATTAAATAAGACGGCAATCGAAGAACGAAATGAGGGTGGAATTACGACAGCGGCAGCATTTGTCCCGGCAACTAATAAAGGAGACAATATTGCACTCAATACGTATAAATGTGCGAGCAACATTTGGGCGTGATATTAATTCCGCCAGTAATTGCTATCGGTTTCCACCCGGGGCTGCAGCCATGAGCCATGAATACGGGAGTTACCGCTATTTGTTCCTGACGTTGCGGTTTAGGGTTTTACCCTGACGGTCCTATATTTATTTTCTTCTTCCAAACACAATAGCCGAGTATTATCTAGACCGTTTGGCCCGTAGCGAAATAAAAGGCGTAAGAACAATTATTGATTAACGAGGATTTATTTAAATTGTATTGAACCTCAAGTATCTTTCCTTCGCACCAATATCAAACAATATGTACTAATATTAACGGAGCTAAGAATGAGGCTTTTTAAAAAAAATCATTAACGCTACAACCTCTTTAGGTCTGGGCCTCAGACTTCTGAATCTGTTTCATGATTCAATCTAATTGGCAAGTAGGTGATCATTCTCCAGACACACGCTGTCGACTTTTTAGGTCTAAAGCCGGTTTCCGCACGATGTTTTCCTTCACCGTTCGAGCGAATGTTAAATACGCACATAGAAAGAAAAGCCATTGGTGCACAGCCGAGGATCCTACGACCTCAGGGATGAGAGTCGCACGCTGAAACCACTAGGCCAACACTGCTCTTATGAGGCTTTTAGGAGAGTTTAATGTACTTATAAAACATAAATATATATTTATATTTTGCCATATATTTTATCTATTTATGGTAACTTCAAATAGGACTTCCAACACATCGATTTCATAAATCATTCTAAGCGATAATAAACGTAATATTTGTTACCCAACAGCATATTGTTTTCATTTAATCTTAGATGAAGGCCTAGTTAAGGAAATTTCATACATTGGTTACGAGCCAAGTCTTATGCTTCATATGCTATGATACTTGCAATTTAGAATTTCGAGAATGCGAAATAATTGAAAACGTGAATATTTTGTTTATATACGCCCATTTATGGCTTACTTTTTAATCAAATTGTTTGACAGTGATCATAGAAATAAACAAAAATACATGTGTATGTACTTATGTACACGCGTTAGAAGTTATACTTTTATGGCGTAACAAGATAAAAATCTTTATACAATTTTTATCTTTCGTCGTATTCTAAGTTTGTAGAAAAAACGACACCAACCATAGAAAAAATATATTTAATAAATTGAAAGTTTTATTATAACGCATTATCTAGTTGAATTAAGTTTATTTAAATATCACAAAAAAGATATTTCTATATAATTAAAGAAAGGGATATTTTTTATTTTAAAATGTTGACTATGCTTACTTCAGAGTGTCGGTTTTTTGTGACGGTGTGCGCGCGCATCGTAAAGATTTACTCTCATCATTTTTCCCTAACGCGCCAAAAGAAGTATAACTTCAAAAATATGTGTTCTATATTCACAAATCTATATAGAGTTAATTTGTATGCTTAGCTTTCTTGTAATAATACTGGACCTCCAGAATGAGTTACTAATTAGGTTGGTAACGAAGAAATTTATAAAAATCCATTTTAACTAAAATGAAATGTGGTTAAAGCAAAAATATAGTAATGAAAATTCGTGTAAAATGTTAAGCGCTATGTAATATTAGGAGGGTAATACCAGCATCACGAATAAGGAGCGGGTGAGATACAACGAGAAAATTGTATTTCCATTTTTACAATTTCAATTTAGTATTAATTCGAGAAAGGCCCGAGCGCTCCACATGTAAAATATGGATCAGCTAAGTGAAATTAAAATGCTCTATAAATTGTGATTTTTGCAAGTCCTAAAGTGGGAAACGCTTTTTATTATTTATCGCCCGCGGCCAACGACTTACTGAATCGCCGGTATTATTCAATTTGCTTGTTTAAAATTACCGAGATACAAGATTTTAAGAAGCTGTTTGCATAATCAGACGATAAGCTCGATAAGTTGCCAGGTAATAAAATATAAAACCGTTATGTGAAGGCAAATTGTTGTGAAGAAATGGTTATAAACTTTTTAATGAGATTTTCAAGATTATAACAACTTATATCGATGTGTCCCGAATAATTTTATAACGAAAATAGTTTAGTATTTTCATATATATTTTTCAACTTTTTTATCCAACAGGAACAAGACGTCTAAAGAGAACCAAACCTTTTGAGTTAATAAACCTAGTGTAGTGAATATAAGTGGAAGTGCGGTATCTCGTACACACGAACATAGTGTTAAAACATTATACAACACTATGACTGTTGAAGAACATAGTTTAATCCATTCATTAGTATTGTAGAAAATTAAGTCAATATAATATTACTTATTAGCCATAATTATTGTATAGGCTAGATTGTAACGACTTTGTGAACTGTATTGTAAAAAAAAAAATATTTAATTGTTTCATACTTTATGTTAGATTAAATTCAATAGCAAAACTTTTGATAGACCAGACCAGTATTCCTATCCAGTTATATTTTAAATAAACTATTAAACTTTTACGGCAAAAAAAAACTCATTGACAGCTGGTGTAAAATTTTACCGTAGGATTTGGGCTAAACTAGGACGCGATCAACCAATACCATAATATAAGCGGAAGCGATTTTTAGAACAATAGGCGAACGGACAGGAAGCTCACCGCTCTTGTACCACCGTTAAATGTCATTCGCACTGCTAAGCGTTATTTGCATTAACTTTTAAGTAACATATATTAAAAATGTTTAGGATAACGAATACTAATTAATATGCAAATTATTAATTATTATAAATAATTATACCACGATATTAACAGTAACACAAAATAGGAAAAAAAATATAATAAAAGTACACAGGGTTTAAATGGGCGGTCTTACTGCTAAAAGCAGTTTCTTCCCGACACAGATAGGTGATCATAAGCGAATAGTATTATAATTTTTAATATTTATTAGAATGAGCATAGTATACTAAAATTAGAACGGCTAATGGCGACCTGTATCTCGTACGTATATATTAAGTTTCTCATGTAAAAAAAAAACTTTTTTGTAAGAGAAATAAAGTTCTTTAAACATCAACTTAAGGAAATATAAATTATTGAGTGTAATATGCAAATGTGTTTAAAAAATATTAACTCTGCTATAAGGCGTTAAGAGGCTTTACCTTATTAAAATTACACAGCGAAATATCATTCAATAAAATAATCTTCAATTTGGTAGGCCAAAGGTGTAAAATGTCGGGTCTCACAATGGTCTAAGATCCCGATATACAACACATTTTTTTAAACATTTCACCAGTATGATTATTAGATAAATTCTATACCAATCGAAAGTATGAAGCCCATCGAATATGCAAACGTTAAGTTGTTTTTAATCAATTAATTATTTATGTGTATATTTTTTGTGACACTAAAGTATATATACATCTTTAGTAAAAAAGAAAGTTATAGTGATACATATATAATACTACCCTGATTAAAAATATATTGATTGAAAAAAATTAAAAAAATGTACTACATGCAAATTATATATATTTTTTTTTAAATATAAATTAAACATACTCTGGACTGAAATTTGCTAGGCAACCCATATGGATTATATTTATTGACATATTAAATTAGAGTCGCTTCTAGTATTGTCTTTGATTAACATAACCTTTACACATTTAAAGAAAAACGCTTTTACCGGATTAAAGTTTGTTTATTATTATAAATTTACAACTATTTGAGCTTTACGCGGCGTGGTCCACCCAAACGTCGGATAATATTTAAAATTATGACAAATAGCTGTAAATTTATAATAATAACATAACTTTAATCCGGTAAAAAGCGTTTTTCTTTAGACTCGCTTCGTCAAACCTAGTTTCGTTTCGGAATCTTAGGATTAGAACTCACGTTTTCGCTCTCACGTCCGCTCTCTTCTATTATTGTGTGTGTCACGTTAGGGTTAGACTACTCTCTATTTCATTTCCAGCAGTACAAAGAGAGATCTGCATAGACCGGAATGACTGAATATTTATGAGAACCAAAAACGTTTGAAATCACTGAGGAAAGCTAGTTTATTTTAAATTGTAATTTTAAAGCAACCTCAGTGGCCAGGTTGACCTTTGGTGATTATAATATTTTTAGTTTGTACCGAACTAAAATTATTCTCATGGAAATTTTAAACAGAGAAATTGGTAAGAGCTTTTGTGCCTCGCTCGTTGACGTAAGCTTTTTTATTTATAACAGTGATTTGAAAATTAATGTTGTTCTTGTAATCTGGATGTCCTGATTGTGAGTGATTTCGAGAAGGTATTTTGTATAATTATTTATTATTAAATCAGTAAAAAAATTAAGATTATTATTATACAAACCGTATTTCTATAGGTAGGTCAGAATATATAAATACTAAGAATACGATTATTTTCAAAGGATTATCTCCTGGAAATGGAATGGATTTTTAAGATCACATTAAAACGCACACAAACACTTACACACACTGACACACACACGCCCACACACCCACAATTAATTATTTGTAAATTATCTTAGTACATAATGTTCTTCGTATATATGGTGTAATCCGTCTTGGCTATATTATTAAATAAAAAAATGTTAATATTATTACCACGATCCGGTTCACATAACATTTTCTTTTGCGAACTAGCGAACTGTGGAATGGACTCCCGGTGGCGGTCTTGCCTGGGAGACACTTCAATTGTTTAAAGAAAGAGTATACTCATTTCTCAAAGGCCGGCAACGCAACGACTATAATGCCCATGGGCTGCGATGACTTTTTATATAAATATCGAAATAATAATTAATATTACAATAAAAAACTTTATTCATGACACATAGATTTTGACAAAATTCATATAACTCTAGTCCCTATGTTGTGGGTAACTAGATAACAATTACTACGTGGTACATGGTACATGTTTAAACCAGTTTTTTGAGAAAAGTGTTTAGTGTTACAACTAATGAAACACAAGTCTTATTAGACATAAGTATGCGTGAATGTGTAAGTGTGTGAATGGGTGTGTGTGAGCGTGTATTTTAGAGTGTAGCTGAGAGTTGTTATATTTTGGAACCTCAGATTTAGACCAAAATACGTAGTAAGGCCAGGCCTCTGTAGATCCGAAATCCACTAATATGGTAATATGCCATGAATTATGAATAAACTGTTAAATAAATAAATTACATTCGTATACAAGGAGTATATTTTATATTGAAGAATACGTTGTATGAGTTACTCTTCCCTGGAAAAATTCAAGTATAATTTTCATCTGTTTTCGTTCTTTATTTAAATTTTCATACGTCATTTTCGAAACAAAAATAAAATTGTAATTCGAATGACGTACATTTAAATATGGAATATTAAAATTCAGTACACACTCGCTTAAATCGTCGCGTTAAAGTCGAGTAAGTGAACTGAGTAAATACAAACGTTATTAGGGCACGTGTACACTACAATTGTACGCTCCACGTAGCACCGTGTCTAGAGTACATCGCAATCAGTGAACACCCTGTCAACTTCAAACTTTCTCTGCCTCCGCATCCTAATTTTATATACACTTTCAAATTGTAAAATAAATATAACAATTAAGAGATTTTAGATTACTTCTAAATACTAAAATAATATAAAAAATCATTTACCTTGACATTCAACCCTCTTTATAAAAAATCCAATCAAAATTTTATATAAAATATTTTTTTTTTTTTTCAAGGACCTCTTATAAAGCATAGGCCTTCTCCAACTGGCTGCATCTCTATCTTGAGCATTTTTCTCCCAATCTTCCCCACTTATTTAAGCTCGTCAACCCACCGTGGAAGAGGATCTCTTTCTTTTCCCTAGTGGTCCTTTCAATCTTGTTGCCCTGTTTGTTCATCTGCCATTGCTCATGAGAGCGATTTTCATGTAATAGCAATATTGCTCAAATCGGGTCTTCTTCATCATCTTCATTGGTTCCTATATACGTCTAATTACGACTCGTAGTAACAGTTTATAGAACATTTTATGACATCTCTGAAACGTCCTACTCATAACAAATGTCTTAAATATTTCGTTCATATAAGTATTTATTAATTCATATATATTTTTTCCTAAATTGTCTCTCCGTAAAGTCTCACATTATTTATTAATAAGGATATTTAACCTATGATAGTGTCCAATAACACTTTGTTCATATTCATAATAACTCTTGTGTTCTATTTTATCACTTAAAACTTACGTGCACTAGCACTAATTCAAATGGATTAATATTAATGTTTTCTTGTTACAGGGGATTCGGGTTTATCACATTCGGCGACCCCGCTAGTGTAGACAAAGTTTTAGCACAAGGAACGCATGAATTAGATGGAAAGAAGGTGAGTGAATTTTAAATTAATTATTCTTTATTTTTTTAAGTAACAGGAGGCAAACGGGCTGGTTAAAGCTGATGATGATGAAGTGTTAAGTTATACCGCCCATGGACACTCACATTGCCAGAAGGCTCGCAAATGCGTTGCCGGCCTTTATATTTCATGTAAAGTTGTTAAATTCAGATGTTCGTTACTAAATTATGATATACGTCTTAACAGACACCAATGACTATAGTACTTAAAAAGTTGGCTTTGTGGCTAAAATTTATATTCATCTAAAATTTATGGATCCCATAAAAGGAAAAAGTAGTTGCGCTACAACCCTTAATCTTGGAATTAGATATTGTTATCTATTTCGTCATAATTTTTTTATATAACAGGCTAGTTGGTGACCAGCCTTCTCCGTCGTCTTATTGAGTCTAAGACATGCCGATTTCTTAGCGATATTTACATTTTACGTATTTCCATATAGAAAGTACAGTCTATTGGTTTCGAACCTACAACCTCTAAATATGAAAGTCGCACACTACTAGGCCAGTCGTCTTATTAAGTCTAAGGCATGCCAGTTTCTTACCGATATTTTCGTATTCCTATAGAAAGAACGTCTTTGGTTTCGAACCTACAACCTCTAAATATGAAAGTCGCACACTACTAGGCCAGTCGTCTTATTAAGTCTAAGGCATGCCAGTTTCTTACCGATATTTTCCTTCCACGCGAGTGTTAAGTATATAAGAAATATTTCAATTTAAACTTTTTTCAAATTAACATTCGCTCGAACGGTGAGGGAAAACATCGTGAGGAAACCGACATGTCTTAGACCCAAAAAGTCGACGGTGTGTGTCAGGCACAGGAGGCTGATCACCTACTTGCCTATTAGATTGAAAAATGATCATGAAACAGATTCAGAAATCTGAGGCCCAGATCTAAAAGAGGTTGTAGCGCCACTGATTTATTTATTTATGAGAAATTCTTTGAATATTCCACTAAGTACACATAAATGAGTACTGAGAATCATTTTATACTCATGTTTTCATATTTCTCTGCGTTTACTTTTACAATTTTAATTCTCTTGGCTACTTAAAATTGCACGGTAAAATCGTGATGGGAAAAACAACAGTTGAAAATGTTTTTACTTCCGACTCGTGAAAAATTTCGTGAACATATTATTTACTTATTAAAGTCACTTTTGAAAAATCAGTTTTTGGATAAGAACAAAGCAACTACGCTATGTCTTATAGTAATGTATATCTAAGACATATAAATATATAGACAATTATTACGGAACTATTGAAAAGGCTTAAAATATAAAAGGTTTGTAAATGTTTAAGCTACTTAACGATTCTTAACTTCGTTTAATTGTGATTGGTCAAATTTTTTAAAACGCGTTGACGCGCGACATGATGTTTCATGTTACTTCCGTTTGACCAATCACAAGTAAACGCACGCTCTCGTCTTTTGTTTTATATTTAAACTGATGTTGCCATCGTTGGTCTATTGGTTTCGACGTGCGACCCTCATCCCTGGGTCACAACCTACGATAGGTTCGATCCCCATGATCCCCAGGCTGTGTGGCCTTTTCCTTATGTGCGCGTTTAACACTTGCTCGTACGGTGAAGGAAAACATCGCAAAGAAACCAGCATGCTTTAGACCTAAAAGTCAATTACTTACTTACTTTGCCTATTAGTAATGATCACGGAATAGATACAGAAATGTGAGGCCAAGAGTTGGGTTATAGCGACATTCGTTTGTTTTATTACCTTTTTTCAAATGATAAACTTTACATATAATTAGAATCGCAAAACTGCGATTTTAAAACACGCTTGGAACGTTTAAATTAATCAAGTACAATTTAAATTGCTGGATTTATTGCTCTGATGTTTTATTTTTTAGTACATTGCCCATTAATCTTAGCTTCAAATGTACTGCATCGGATGAATCGGTCAACTGTTGCGAGTGTACAGTTAGCAATTTCAATAATCCGTAAAAGCTTCCATACATTTATGTAAACACTCATCTTTATATCGGTCCCGGGCATTCTCGACAGATGGAGAAAAAAAACGATTACTACCGCTCGCCACGAAATAATCTAGATAAATTACAGAGCCCGGCGTTGTTTACTTTGATTAAATTGTAGTCGACTGGCGGAAGATTAGCTGAAGCCTCACAAATCGAGCGAGAAGAGAGCGTTTTCTCAATTTACATAAAATGAACGCGAAAATCGCGGCATTCATTCAGTATTTCTTATATTGGTTTTGTGCTTTAAGACATACTTACTAAGAGTTGATAGATATTCGATACTGTGGTTTTTATAAACATGAATATTCCTTTCAAAGGTCATACAAAATAAAACAGTAGTATTCAATCTATGCCTATAGTGTTTAATAAGCCTCCTGTGATGACACACGCCGGCGACGTTTTGGGTCTAAGGAAAGCTGGTTTCCTCACGATGTCTTCTTTCAACGTTCGTGCGAATGTTGAATGCGCACATAGAAAATCTATGGGTGCAGAGACGGAGATCGAACCTACGACATCAGAAATGAGAGTCGCGCTGAAGCCACTAGGCCAACACTGCACTCAAATCACTTGTTGTTTTGTTTCCAATTTTCATACCTTGACTTATACTTGATTCTCTAAGATTCTGCCTCATCATTTGGTGATGATGGAGCAGCTAACCACATCACACTCTTCAAGGCATAGCTAAACTTACATACTTTTATTTATGTTCCATATTTCCCTATGGAAAAAAAAAACTGTTTGTTGGTTTTGTTTTTATCTATATCATCATATAAATAATTTTTCCATAAAATTCTAGCTACCTTCACCTTCTTCTTTCATCATGAGCTTTCTGAGCTCCAGAATCTCCCATTTTCCCAGGTTCTTTCCGGTTTTTTGCACTCATAGTTAAAAATACATCACTACTCACCCAGAGATTGAACGCTGGACCTCGGGGAGTTAAGCACTAGCATAACCTCATAAAAGTAACTCTTTATACAAAATTTTGTCTCCAATACATATTTATCATAATGGTTTTTGCTGTTCGTCCTTCAAGTGTGAAACTTCTGCCATTTATATTTTATTAAGAAATATCGAAACTTTATGTTTCCATCCAAGTTTGTTTCGAGGCGTATCGATTGGAAACGATTGAAAAGTTACATTTATCGCATAAGTAATTTCATTCACTATACATATGTTAATTAAAAGATATATTTTAAAGAATATGTACTCAGATGGATCACAAAGTGTTTGAATAAAATTATTCGATAATTTTATATTATACTGTATTAACATTTTACAGTGTTGGCCTAGTGGCTTCAGCGTGCGACTCTCATCCCTGAATCCTAGGTTCTACACTCGGCTGTGCACCAATGGAATTTATTTCTATGTGCCCATTTAACATTCGCTCGAACCGTGAAGGAGAACATCGTGAGGAAGCCGGCTTACCTTAGACCCAAAAAGACGACGGCGTGTGTCAGGCACAGGAGGCTGATCACCTACTTGCCTATTAGATTGACATATGATCATGAAACAGATTGATTTTTTGAATATATTGCGTTGTAACAGATTTACAAATGTATTTTAAAAGCGTTACAATGAAACTTATTTTAATAGTCCAGCATTTTCCTTCTAATACTGGTGTAATTATTCTAGGTTTTGTTATTTTATAGTGGTATTACACGTTTGAAATAGTCTAACGATGTTAGCTTAGCACTTCTTAAATAAGTAAATATAAACGTAGTACAAAAGAAAAAGCTTAACAATATTAACGTTATAGGAACTTTGATGTGTCCTGAATGTGCCACAAATGCTGCCTAAATGACGTCTAGGAACATTAATAAATCACGTCGTCTTCAAAAATATATCGCTTGAATATTCTGAGCAAAATCTCGAACAAATAAATTTTGTTACCGATATAAAATGTTTTATCAAATTGAGGTCGAACATTACAAATCCGACATAAACTTAACGTAATATTTTTAACAATTAAAATATGACTTGAAAATTAACTTTATTAAGTTAATCAGATTTCTTGAAACTCTATTTTAGTTCCCAATTGTAGTGCATATATTATCATAATAGATACAAATAAAATAAAAATTACGAGTGTATGAAGATATGACTATGACATACATTTTTGGATAATCTTTGTACTTTTCAAATACAAATTCAAAATCTATATATTAATTATTAATTTTAAGTAACACAATCTGCACTTATGCACGTCAATAAAGATTAAATTTCATATTAAATGCTTCTCATTTTACATTTACCGCCAGTTCTCTAATCAAGGCCATAGAGCGGACGAGAAGAACTGGCAATAAACTCTCCGCCACTCTTTTTAATCGCCAAGTTTTATTAACACAATGTTTGTAAGGAACTGCAACCATTACACCATGTTCCACGTGACATATTTACATAATTAATCGTTAATTAATAATAATAAAAAAAGATTTGTCCTCTATCAGCAGTAGCATGCTGAAATAGGAGCACGCACTTACATTCTGGTGGGAACAACACCTTTACTAATTTCAATTAGTTTTCTATTAATTATTATTTGAATGTCCTACATAGCGAAACACATTTGGTGCCTCCACCAGTAGATTACTATTAATGAAGATATAGTTATTGGAATATTTGTAGCAATTCAACCACGTCACATGACACATCAGGATCACGTTGTACAAAAACTTAAAGAAACGCTTTCGTTATTTTTTTAAGGACTTCTAAGGTTTTTAAATAATTATTGTAACGTATAATACGAAATTAGCCTACTTATGAGCGTATTTAAATATATCGGCGTTTTGATTTTCTCAATAAAAGGTATTAATGCTTCTTCAAAGTAAGGTTCATTTGTATGGGCTTTTATTTGGCAGCCAATTAGAATTTCTTTGCCCGCCATCCCTGGCTCTTTGGATCCCTTTTGTCGCGGCCGGAACTGCTTGAAGAAGCCACTTAAAGACTTAAATTTCATCTAGTAAGCCTAACTAAAATGAATTATTTTTTAATATTTTCCTTTCTTAAA